AGGCCAGAAATAGAGAATGGTGAAATTTATTACTCCATTTTAAAACAATAAAAAACCACTACATGTTAACATGAGCATTCTTCTCAAAAAATAACTATTTTATTAAACTTTAAAAAAGTAAAAAGTGGCATTGTTTTACACTTTTGCAAGTCTTTTAAAAGTCCGGCATAATAGAGCTGGATTCTCACATTTGCTTCTGCATTCAATATGTTGCCTTGTTGGTTGAAGTGTGTGAAGAAAATCTGGCCTCGGCTAGATTTTGGAAAAGGAAGGAGTAATTTAATAGCCTTTAGAGATAATTGTGGCTATTCTTGATACCACACAAAAACTCTACAATTGATAGTTTCTTAAAGGTTGGTTGCAATGTGGAATCTGAAACTGTACCAATGAGCTTGTTGTGCCGTCACCCTGGTCCAGCTTGCACTTGGAACGGATCTTATAGCTGTGCGTGACGTTACAACATCACACGTGGATCAGTGAATACTTGCTCACTTAGTTGTGCAGCTCTTCCAAATGTTAACACATTTCAAAATAAAAGATCAAAACATCATTAAAAATTCATTATTATTCATTCATTCATTGGGGGGAATAAAGAAAAAAAACCCACCTTATTAGAAAAATCTTTATGTTTTAGGAGCTTGACAAGCTCTCACCATGGTACCTTCAACTCAGAAATCTGTATCTTCAGCCCAGATCCCTCCTCTGAGATCCAGGCTGATTCATCCAGTTGCCTACTTGACATCTCTCCACTACCTCAAAGGCCCCTCAAACTCAGCTTGAAGAAAACATGCTCAGGCTGTGCACCCACACCTGGTCCTCCTCCGTGTTCCTAGCCAGGGAAAAATCGGCAGTAATGTAAGCTGGGAATCTTTGACATGCCCCTCCCTCCCCACCCCTCCGCTCCCACAAATCCATAGCCAAGTGTGTCACTTCTACCTTCTGGCAGGCTGTGGCCATGTCTGTCCACAGAAAACCCCCAAGTGGACATCAGTGGACATTCTCAGGTCTTACAGCACAGCCTTAGGTAAAGGGAAGTTGCCCTGAAGCTGCCTAATCAAGTTCAGAGCTCAGAACCCGGACGTCAGGCCCAGATGACATGGCTTATTGAGCGACAGAATTAATTCCTCTCATGGTAGTGTAAGATGCCCCCTTTCGTTTGGGTCTAGCCTTAGGGCTGACTGGAGCTAGCTTTTTAGGTGCCAAGGACTTGCTACTAGAGCCCGAAAGATGGGCTGTCAAGTTTCCATTCCAATACCTAGGACAGCTGATGGAAGAAAATGTGGGTTTCTCCAAGAATAGAAGCTGTTCCCCTCGCCCACCACAGAATAGATCCAGAGGGGCTTTTCTGACTCCTTCATGTGATGCTTTGTTGAACATTATGAAACTAGAAGACGTTCAAAAGTGGTGATGCAGCTTCTCGACTGCTGCATCCACTCAACACTGTCTAAACTGCCTCCGGCCCTTTCTTTTCATAGCCAACGGCAGCCAGGATGGCAGCCCAGGGCCTGTGACGTTAGGTAAAACTGACCCAACAGCACCACCTTGGCTGGTCCGCTCAGACTACCTAAACTAAGGCGACTTCCGTAACCTCTGAAGGTAACTGAACCAACCCCCAGCCTTCGGGCATGGCGTTTACAGCAAACCAGCTATATGCAAGAGGAATGAAAAAAAAATACACACATTTTCTAAGTAAGAAATTTATTTGATCAAATGGCAATATATGAAGATATTTTAAACTATAAGGCTCTATTCAGATAAAATGTATCGTTATTATAAAGTAAATGTTATCAATGTAAATGGAACCTAAAAACAGAAAGAATGAGCTTTCTATAAATAATATGTCTATATAAAGCATTCATAAAATCCTCGTGTATCTAGAAACTAGGTTGTAAGTATAACAGAAAAACCTGTGAATAGCACTTACGAGCAGGTTTCTTAAATTTATGATGCCTGAAGTATGTCATTATACACAGGTATTTTGGGGGTTTCTGTGATAATCAAAACATGCTGCCACTGGTAAGAGAAAGTGTAGTCCCACAACAAGCAGAACCAAAACAGTGATTATGGCTCAACCTCAAGTTCCCTGCACAGCATCCTACCGTTCCAAATCCTTGGGACCTTGAATTGAGTAGGTGGAAATTTCTAATCACTCTAGCTGAGAATAACTAGAAAAGGAGGTTGGGAAACCAGGGTTAAAATGAGGGAAGGGAGAGGAAATGGCGTGGCAGGGTCACAGGTTTCTATAGAGCAGCTTCAGAAACGGCCAAGGAAATGGATTTAAAAACGACCCCAAACAGTGGATCCTTGGGGCTGCACCCTGGGGACTGCAGGGAGGTGGGCACCAAGCCCCACTGCTAGGGACTGACCTGCATGCCACGTGCTTGGTTTGGAGCTTGCACACACACTGGCAGGGAATCGTCGCTGTAGGACCAAGTCATTACCTGGGTGTGCTGGGGACGGGGCAGTGTGTAGGTTACACCAGCTTTCCCCAAAGATTTCTGCCAGCATCCAACTGACTCTGTCTTTGGGGCCATGATGGGACCTGGGAGGCAGGAAATAGCAGCTTCAAAAGTCATAAAATCAGAAAAGCTTCAGATGTGTAGGAGAACCAGATACAAAGAAAGTGATGTCGCCCAGCACACAGTTAGCAGCAAAGCGCAAATGTGTCCGATGATTAAAGTGAAATTGAGTGATATGAAAAAACAGAAAAGATTCCAGAAAGCCAAGGATAATAACTGAAAATAATTATATAGCACCAATTATTACTAATTTAAGATATATAAACATTATTGAAGATTTATGTAGTATCTGTGCTATTAGTTTCATAAATATAAATATTTATAAGGCCTTCAAAATATTGTGAATGACATAGACATTCTAGTATAAATATATACACTCCAGATTCATACAACTGAGTTGTTTACATTTAAATACAGATTTGGGGTTATATGTAGAATAATTTTTGTAGACCATTTTCTGAACCTTGATCACACAGCTAAAGTGAACACCAAAAATCACAGGAAGCATCTTACTGGGGACTTTGGCAGCAAACACGTTTTTATCTATGTATAGATGCGATTATACAAAGATACACTTGTTCATTTGTATAAATGAATTAAAGTACTCCATAGGAGATCTTACACTTAAAACACTTTTCTGTTTTCTTATCTGCTTCTTTGCAATCAACTGTATATGGGAGGGCTACTCAATGGCTTATGGCTCCTTTTCTCTGAGTCTCATTGTCTTCCTAACAGGTGTGTATTTAAAAATAGTTTCATGTTTCCCATTCAGGCTAAGTGGCTTTCAAGATTCCTAACCTTGAGATTACAATCTTCGTTATCAATGACACTGATACACACACACACACACACACACTCTTTAATATTAATAAAAACAGCAAGTGATTTTATATCACCTACTTTTAGCAGTGTGCTTTAAAAATTGGTTTGTTCCCAGCACTACAGAAAATAACCTCCAAACACATCCAGGTTGCTCATTAGAGATGACCCTCTCTGCTGTGTGGGGTTGGCAAAGTGAGACAAGCCTGAAAATAAGACAGGATAAGAAAACCCCAGGGTTCCCTGGATCCACCGAACATTAAAAATACGAGCGCGGCAGAATCTAAAATTACTTTCTACCCAGAGAAGTATGTTCTATCTAATGACTGTATAGGGTGATTTTGGCAAGTTAGTCTTATGCACGTGTGAACTAAATGGGCTGCTTGACCTTACTCCAATGGCTAGAGGACATCATAGTCACACCTGTGCTCTCAGGTACAGAGAGACAGAGAGAGAGACAGAGAGAGAGAGACAGAGAGAGAGAGAGAGAGAGAGAGAGAGAGGTCAACCTAAGTGAGCTTCACAATCTTAAAGCCAAGGCTGTCATTGACCTTTGCTTCATTTCTCCAAAACAAATTCCTAATTTAGCTAACTAAAGAGACTACTATGGCAGTAACGTTAAATCAGCCTTTTCACTGTGGTGTTAATGAGCCAACACGTGGTAAATATGTTAGGAGCTGGATGCCCAGCATGTAAATTTAACTCAAATGAAATTACTAATATACCATGCTCCCAAAAAATAGATTTAGGAAAATGAGGTGACTCTAGATGATCTTATTTCCATGCCTTTCCTAAGAAATCACCTCATGGCAAGAGATGCTACTTTTGGCTCAGTTCACCTAAGATAATTCATTTGGGACTTTTCTTAGCTATTGAATGTCACAGGGAAGGGACTGACTGAAAGTTGGCTCTATTGGATGAAACTAAATAAACATGAATGGGGTGTGACTAGCACAGCCATCAATGGGCCTCACTCCACTGAGTGGCCGGGCCAAGTGCCGCAGCCACACTGACCTGACAGACCAACGAGTAATGTATGTTCTCATTTCCCACCAGCCAAATACCACTGTTTCCTAAAACACGATTCTAGTAGAAAAGAGAGCTCTGGAATCAAGGCCCTCACAGCAGGATCTAAGTTGGGCATCCATGGCGTGGCCTGTGGCAAACTGCTCCACAGCTGTGTCCACATCACACTCCGGCCCTGGGCAACTGGCACACTTTTAAAAGAGACATCTCTGCCCCTGGAGGAACAACCTGAAACTTCAGAATACAGATAAAGAATGAAGCTGACTTAAGTCACCTCATCCTGTTCAGCCATTTGACTCCTCTATCCTCCCGACCCTAAATACGGTATCCCCCAGAACGAGTGTGTGAGACAAGATGGCTCCAAATCACAAGGAAGTTGAGTTTAGCTGAAGGTCGACACCGAGCTCAGAAATGCTTCCATTTGTTATCTTTCCAGCTTCAGGTTGCAGATCAGTTTATAAATGGCATAACATAAGGCTAATGTGAGTAAAGTCTGATGAGTTTTCTTCATTATCAAGCTATCTGCACAGCACACAAATAAGGGTGACCTAGTGAAGTAACACTTCTGGCCTGGGAGAAAAATAAAACCAGTCAAATCACATCTTTCTCTAAAATTTCCCATTTAAAAAAAAAAATCACTGAATAAAAAGCCTAAGATTCCCTGCTGTTTAACGTTACCTTAGCCTCAATTTCAAACTTGTATCACAGGGACAACGCCACTACCATGGTGGAGAAAAAACTGTGAGGAAAAAAGAACCGCCACTTGGAAAAATAAGTGAAAAGGCATTTGCATGGACACAGTGCTAAGATTTTTTAAGTTAAAACAATAATATATCTAGAAAATACTGTGAAAATACATATCTCAAAATAGAACAAGGTTTAGTCAGAAGGCTCAGTAGAACAATTACTTTAAAATCTGACCAACTAAAAAGATAGATAAAATAACCTTTCCATCTTTGACCCTTCCTCACTTTCCGGCCTTCAGACGCTACCAGTCTGGATGTGCTAAAGCAGGATAACCTAAAAGCCATGAAAAAGTGCTGGTGTTTTCCAGGATCTCTTCAAAACCGTTTCCATCTTGGTAACTTGAATTCTCTCTCTGATCAAGGCAACTGACGGACTTTAAATGTATTTGGAGTCATCGGTTCAAAGACATCGTCGTCATCTTCCACCCCTTCTTCTATTGGTTTCATCTTGGCAGAGGAACGCTGGTGTGGGGATGATACATCTGTGACAAGACACAGAGAGAAAACTGCTTAATGTACAATCTGCCCTGATACTGGCGTGATGGATCAATTATAAGCTCCAACTGGAAAATAAAACTCTGTGGGAATCTACAGCTAGCACCAGGAATGCAATTTCCATAAACATTCTATTTTCAATACAGCATTTCAAAAAAAACAACAGAAGTCAAGAAGAGATTCTCAGTCATGAGAACTGATGTGGAACAGATTCCACTGCATATGCTTGGATGATATGAGCTTTTCAAATATATGCAGTTCCCAGTGGGTTACCCCGAAGTCTGTTTAAGACTCAGAATGCGTGTTTCTACATTAATATCATACATATTAATATTGCTATTAGGCTGGATGTCGTGGCTCACACCCGTAATCCCAGCACTTTAGGAGTCTGAAGTGGGAGGATCCCTTGAGGCCAGGAGTTTGAGACAAGCCTGGGCAACACAACGAAACCCTGTATCTACAAAATAATATAAAAATTAGCTGGGCGTGGTGGCGGCACATGCCTGTAGTCCCAGCTACTTGGGAGGCTGAGGCAGGAGGATCACTTGAACCCAGGAGTTGGAGATTGCAGTGACCAATGATGACACCATTGGACTCCAGCCTGGGTGACAACAACAAAAAAGCCCATCTCAAAAAAAAAAAAGTTGATATTAATGTAATAATTGGACCTTGAAAGCTGATTTAACTCTTGATTTCCAGATAAATAGTTCTATTCTAAAACTACAGAACCTAACAACACCATCTGCAATAACACCTACAAGTACATTTCTTGCCTCTACTGGTCCAAACACTCCTTGGACTGACACAGGAAGGAGATGGGGGTGAGGAAGAGAGTCCAGGCATTCCGGAGGGAAGAGTCAGGTGGAGAAAATACAGTCCCAGGTAGCAGCAGGGGAAAGAGCATCACCAGAGCCTTCTAGGATGCCATTTAATCAAAGGAACCAAGAAATGATTCATTCATTCAGTCACTCATTGTTCATGCATTCACCAAATGCACCAATAATGGACACCATGCCTAACGTAGAAGAAAATATCGTCCAAAAGTAAGAGAAGTTATCATCAGTAGATTTCTCAAGGTGCCTAATGAGCAGCTCACATGACAGCACAAACATAAGCTCCCCTCCATACAGTTACACACTCACTGTCAGTGTCTTCCTCTGCCCCACCCACTGGTGCCATCTCCTTGCTGCCCAAGGGCAGTGCAGAGTGGCACTTGGTCAGCCAGCAAATGCGGAACTCAGGCTGGGGAGCAGGTTGATGGTGGAAGGGCAAGGGGTGAAACCTGACTCCTTAAGTACTTGCTAAGAGCAAAGGAGAGTGGAGGGATCTCATTAAGACATTTAACAGACTGGCTACAAGATGACCCTGGAAATCTATCACGGTCAGCTATCATTTGCTGGCAAGGGTCAGCAGCAAACAGCAGGGTTGGCCAGCACCGGGAGAATGCTGCACTCAGCAAGGAGGGGCAGGGGCTGGCAGCATGTCCCATGCTGCTCCCGGGAGGGAGGCTGAGACGGTGGCGAGGGCGCTGCACTCAGCCATGGCACGGGGTGGGGAGGCACACACAGTGGTTAAGACCAGAGACTCAGGAAACACTTCCAGGCTCCAAATTCCTGCTGCTTCCTCAATTACTAAACCTTTCCAGGCCTCAGTTTCCGTATCTGTAGAAAGGGGATGTGCATAGGACCTGCTTCATAGGGTTGTTGGGAAGATTAAACAAAATACTGCGTGTGATGTGCTTAAGCAGGGTGTGGGGCACATACAAAATGTCCCTAAAGGTCATTTATTATTAATTGGACAGTCATTTGGGGAAATGCTACTACCAATAGTCCCATCTTCCAACATAAAAAGATAATTTTGCAGGGCTGGGCTTTGGTATAGGTAATGTGTACTGGCTTTACATACATGGATATTGTTCACTTACAAACATTTAAAGTCAAAATACTGAGTTTCTTGAATGATAACTACCGACATAAACTATAGAAAATACACCTCTATTAAAATGATCCAAGAACATAATTCTGTCCCAGAACACAGCATGGTAAGTTCTCAGGCAAGTTCCTTTTATTCTTTTCCTGCAGTTGACATCAAACACACCATGTTTTTACAACCTTTAATTCGCATGTCTACTCAAATGGCAATGAATACTATCTGTGTGACCTTGGGCAAGTTACTTTACTTCTTTGTGCCTTAATTTCCTTATCTGTAAAACAGGAATAATAAGAACAGTATCTATCTTGTATGGCTAAGGTTTAAATGACAATATTTGTAAAGTTCTTAGATCAGTACCTGGGATAAAATAATCACCACGTAAATATTTGTTAGAATATAGAATTAATTAATTAATATGGCCTTTGGAGGGCAGTGGCCTTAATAATGAGCAAATGTGTTAAAATTCATCATTGCCCATAGGAAGGCCAATAAAGGAAATGGGCCTTGTGCTAAAATAGGTTTGTGTATCTCAATCTAAGCTGTCCTGAGTGTGGTAAAATTGTCTTTTTTTTTAAAACAGCAACAGCCATGGCTTCCATCATATTTCTAGCCTTAAGTCATGATTGGGTTTCATAAAATATTAACTTAGGCTAAGTACTTGTGATCAGATAAAACCTTTAAAACAAACAATAAGACGGCATGTCTAAGAGCATTAAACCAAATCAATAATATACAACATTCAGACATAATTGTGTAATATACATAACAGAAACACACCCAGTCTATTTTGTCTGAGGAAGTGGGACTAAAGAGTCTCTCCAGTTTTTAAGTCCATCTATCAGATCAGGGGTGACATTCCATAGTCTACTGAGGCTGGTATTCACATTGGAGCCACAGTGTTGCCTGACCCTCTCAACTATCTCCCCCATCGCTGCATTTTTTCACTGAGAGAAAACGAAGAGAGGACCCAATACAATTAGAAATGATCAAGTGAAAACTTTCTAAGGACTTCCAGCTTTTCCATGTTCCCACTGTGTTTGCCTGGGCAGAAGCGGAGTTATGGTGCTCACTATATAACATTAAAAGGATAGTAAGAGTCACTCACAATCCTCAGGGCGACATCCAGGAGTCTCCAAGTTGGGCTTGCTTCCCCCTTCTAGTCTAAGCTCTTGCAAACTTGCTGCTCTCCGAATCCAACCCAGCCTTTTCCTCTTCTCCTCCTGCTTTTCTCTCCACCTGGAATGGTCCCTCCACTCCCATCCCTACCCACCAAATTCCTGTCTTTTCCTCAAGGTGCGGTTCAAACTCCACCTCCTTCAAGGGTGATCTTCCCCGACTCCTGCGGGGAGATTCTACCCTCCTCCTCAACACCGTCAGCCCTTACACGGTCTGCGTCTCTCCCTCATGGGAAAACAGGCATCTTGAGGGCTGTAACCATGGCCTCTTCTCCCCTGCAGCCTCACTGAAGCACGCCACACATAGACAGGGGCTTTATAATTATTTAAGTATGTGGTTGCGAAAAAAAATCCCTCCTCTGAAACGCCATGCAGGGAACTTCAAAAGGGAGTTCCTTTCCTGTGGGAGAAAGACATGGCCGTCACATGTAATCCCTGACAGCTCAGGCCCAAACCCTGCCAGTGGGGCACACCAGCGATCCTCACATGCAGGCAGGTCTCAGGGCACAGTAAAAGCTCACTAGGAAAAGAGACTGTTATCACTCTATTCTGCATCATGTGCCCCGAAGGAAACCACTTTCATATAACTGACTCAGCGCTGCCTAGAACCGCCGAGACTGCCGTCCTCCCAAGGGAACTTCAATGACTTAACTGCACCATCACCTGCTACAACATTTTTATCCAATCAGCAAAAAGGATCAGGGAGACTACAGGTGCTAGGTGCTGTGTTAAACGCTGGGGAAATAAAAACAAATCAGACCTAGTCTCTGACTCTATCTTATTTTACTTCTCAGGAACTCAGTGCACTTTTCATAGACATTCATCCTCACCACATGCATACTATCATTTCTGCTTTATAGTCAGAAGCTGAAACAAAGACAACCTGTGACAGAAAACAGAGAGGGCCGGCTGCTATGGATCAGTTCATTTCTCACCAGGGCATGAACCACTCAGACAGAAACACATCCTGGGAGAATAAAGCAGGCAGCCCGAACGGCCTGGCAAGATTTAATTTTTCTGTGAAAGTTCTCTTCACACTCAGAATACTTGACTCACTTCCATTTCAGGCTTTGTGGCTGAGAGTCTCCAACCCCCCCAAGTCCCAATCATCACAACACTGCCTTGCTGCCCTTTCTCCACCATGGCAGACGCATCAGCAGACAGGAGGAACCCAGCCCGACCTCTAACTGCCAGGAGCCACCCCAGTGCCAGTTGGCTGCCTGACCCCTGGCTAGGAATCAGAGTGCACTCTTTGTGGCAATCTCAGTTAGCCTGGCCTCCTGTGCCACAAGAGCCAAGTCCAATATTCATAGCCAGGAAAATGAAAGGATCATCTGGGCACAGCTAGGGATCTATGACCCTCACGGCCAGGAGAAAGGCCAGCTTTGAGGAACAAGAAGCCCCTCGACATGGAGCTCTCTGGCCTCTGTCTGGAGACCTGCCAGTTCCATGGAAAGACTCGGAGCCCATCAGAATACAGCTGGAAATTATTTCTTAAGCCTTTAATAAATCCAAAATCAATTTCGAGTATGTACAAAAAAATGAGGGAATATTGTACTTTAAGGGAACTATCTTACATTTCATAAGTTGAACACCAATAAATTCCTTCTACCAGTTTGCCTGGTTCTTTATTAATTTTATGTACCAATGCGTCATTAGAAATTTGCCTAGAAGGCCCAACTACCTTACAGAGATGTGAAAGCGTGAGAGGAGAGAGGAAGAAATAGAGCTTATCTTAAGTTCTTTTTCAAATTACTTTTACCCTTCAAGGACATTACTGTGAGGCTCACGATCTCTGTATAATGCTTTACTTTTCATTCATTCCAAACTCTACAGGGGTAAATGATTCCATACCCATAAGTTTTCCAGAAAACAGATTC